CAGAATGAAGGCATGAATAAGAAATAGACCCAGAGGTCACGGTGGCCACCGGTTGAAATAGGTTCACAGCAAAAAAAAAAAAAAAAAAAGTAATGAAAGACCATAAGTAAGGAAACACAAATAAAAGTGAGATGCCGGTTTTGCCTGTCAGAATGGCGAAGATTCAGAGGGTAAAATGTGCACAGTTGTGTTGAGGGCATGCAACTGGCCTCCTCCGGGCTAGAGGCGGGAACGGGTATAATCTTTCTTAAGAGTCAAGTGGCAATTTTTTTTTTTAATTGGCAAATATTTAAATTGCCAGTTAAAAATATGACTTTAAAAATACGTATGCCCATTGGCCCAACAATTCCTTTTGTAAGCACTAGTAGTAATAAAGTGAATTTCAAAAAAATAGATAGAGAATATATTGCAATGTAAATACCGAAAAATTGAAAGCAATATTATTTGCTGTAATAGAATATTGGTTATATAAATGATAACAACTTATTTTAGATGGGATATAATGAAGCCTAAAAATTCTGCTTATGGAAAATGTTTAGTGGCAAGGGGAAATCCATCTAAAACAACATTAACTGAGAAAACCTGGATGGATAGTCAGGTGGATAAAAGGACAGAGAGAAACATACAGTAGGAAAACACACACCAAATGTTAGTAATTTTCTCTGGCTGGTTGGGATCAGGAGCAATTTATATTGACTTCATAACGATTTTTTTTTTTTTCGTTTTCTCTACAGTGAGAATGCTTTATTACTATAGTTTGTGCAAAACAGCAAGATGTATTTTTCAAAATTAATGAGAAAACAGAACAGTGGAGATATTCCAATATTCCTATTTGTGCCCTAAATCAGGAGCAAGATGCCCTGCAGACCTCTGCCCTCCTTCAGCAAAACAGCAAAGAGCCTCTGCCCTCAGAGCAGAGCTAAGCCAACCCTCTGACCAGCCACACCTTCAGTGACCCCCTGCATGCTCTACCTGGCCTGCTGCACACTAACCCAAGGACCCCCACAAGCTCCTCCTCCTCCTGACTTCTCCTAGCTTGGTGCCTCCCAGGCCCAGGTGTGGCCTGCCCTCGGTGGGAGACCACGGTACTGACACAGAGAAGTGACCCTGTTCTTTTTGAAAGCACTGGAACAGAGTTCTGTGTGGCTCTGGGCTTCAAAGCCGAAGCAGGATAAGGAAAGGCTCGATCAACTGGGATGGTCCAGTGGTATCTGCCGTGTATGGAGCACATATGGGACGGAGGCTCCATAGACTTCAACTCATACCAACACAGAACAGGATAGCCATTAGAATCCCATTTTACAGGTAAGGAAACTGAGGTCAGGTGAAGTCACACAGGGTCACCTGACTAGCCAGGATCCAAATGCAGGTGTGTCTGTAGCGGCCAACCTGATGTAAGAAATTAAGTCTCAGGGGCCGTGCGACAGAATCCCCAGGGCAGAAAACAGCTATCCTCCATCCCGTTGGAACAAAAGGAGGAGGTGGGTCCTGTGCCATCTGAGGTGTTTCCTAGCCCCGAAGATCCTGCCAGAGCACAGTGTTCCACCAAACACTAGAAGGGCCTGGACACTGTCTCTGTCACTCTTCTCGGAAGATCTTAGACTTCAGAGAAACTCATAGTCCTGGCTTTCCCACGGCCTCCTGCATGGCGAGTCTCTTCTGCATCAGCCATTAAATCAGTAGATCTGCCAAATTACTGGGATGCCACAGTGGAGTTTTCTGCTGTGGGTCAACACTTCTACACAGGGAACCTTACTCCGAAGTTCTAAACACAGAAGTAATATTTTCCTGAAGGCACTGGCAATGGTTGTTTTATTTATTTTATTTTTAGGTATGCTTTTTCAAGAAAGCTAAATAAGTATAAGTATGTGTGTGTAGAGATTTTTTTAATAAAGGTCTATTTTGCTAAATAACGATAATAATGAGATAATCACTTCAAAGAAAATGTAGATAATTCAGAAATGATTCAGGCTTTCAAAACATTCTCTGAGTGCAGCACAATCCTACGTCAGAGTGTTTAATGGCAAAGAATCCAAACATTTCACTGTTCCCTGTTCTCCTTTCCACGGTCACTGAGTCTGCCCCAAGTGGACAGGTGCACACACACTCAGGGAGCTGGGGAGACATGTGCTGCATCCGGGGGGGCCAAATTGTATCGGGGAACTGCCCACGAATGCAAGCAGCAAGCACTTTAAGGTAATGGCCTGGACTTCCACTTTCAGGCAAGGACAGAAGATCAGGGCCTGCTCTGAGCACATGACATTTGTATTTGACATTCCTTCCACTGTCACTGAGCTCCCCCCCAAAGTAAGGAGGGTTGAAACAATTCGCATTCCACATAAGCCAATGGGCTGATGAAAAATCTCATGCCTAGAGCCATTCAACTCATTAACCATATCCACCAAACCCCTGGGAGATGAACTTTCTTCATATAAACCTGAGCTTTTTACTAACTTGCCCTTCATGCATGATGGCAAATATTCAGAGTGCCTGCTATGTGCAAAGCACGAAACATATAAAATAAGCAATATGTTTTTAAATTAACACCATGTTTCAATCATCATCAAACCCTCCAGTCTGTTAAATCAAAGTAACTTCTTTAAGCAACTAAATGAAACAGTAATAGTGTGCTCCCTCATGGAGCCTTGTAACTTTCCACATCCTGTCTGTTTCCTAAGATGCTTTCACTGGCACTGCCCTCTCCTTGTCCTTCAATGTCAGATCTCCGTGATATCGGAAAATCCCCACATTCCCATTCTAAAGACTAAGGATCTTGAAACCCTAGGATCAGGGATTGTAACGTGGGGTTCATGGGCCATCAGAGGAGTCCAAGAGTTGAACTGTACTTGGACAGAATTTGCTTGCTTTATCATTCTAAGTATCACATTATATGCATTTAAAAGCATTTATCCTGAGACGGGATCATAGACTTCATTAGACTTGCCAAGTGACCCAGGGCGTAATGAAAGGGCCAGGGAAGTTTCTGGGAGATTGGATTAAAAGTCCTAACCGAAGCACAACCAAAGTTCCAAGGCTAACAACCGGCTCCTTGGAGTCTGGAAGCAACACCATGCTGTTCCCGTGCAGAAGGAAGGAAACGGGGTGTTAAGCACCCTTCAGTTTTGTCAGATGGTGGAAATGGCAAAAAGCAGATGGAAATACCAAAACTGATCCATGAATTACCTATGGGGACATCACCCTGGATGCTTACATGTTTTTATGAGAACTCTTATAATCTGATCCTAAAATCCATGGACACTTAGAGATAAATGGGCACTCTCAGATAAGCCCCCAAAATTCCTTTACTTCTTCCAATGGAAACTTTCTATTCCCAGTTCCAAACACCAAGAGAAAATGATGACGAGAGTCACAGAGACGGGATAAAAACATCTAACTTTTCATAGTGCCTCACAAGGTCTTATAAATATTAATGCAAAAATAAAAAAAGACCACTCCAATGGGGAGTACCAAATTAAGTGTATCTAATGCTTAATCGACTAACTGATTTATTTACTGAAACAACAACAACAACAACAAAAGAACAGAGTGTGTTTGAGACTAGAAATTGCCTGTATGACAGACTGTTTCCTAATTCCAACAGACAGCCTTAATTTTCCTTGTGCTAATTTGAGCTTTGCACTCACATAATTAAAACTACTGTCAACAGACTCGGGCCGCCTTTTTCTACTCTGTAAACAAGTCTGTAAAATCATCTCATTACCTTACCCAGGAAGCCCAACAGAACATGTTTTAAAGGAAGTTACCTATAAAGAGGGGCTATTTTATTTGAACAGAGGATTAAAAAGAATCTACTTAAAGTCATTTTAAAGTTCACCTGAGATATATATAATATACATATAACAAGTGCCATCAAATGTTAAAGCAAGCATAGTATCCTGGACAAGTGTTAACTATGACCCAAAATTTATTCTGGAATCACAAAACATTCAAGCTTCAAAATACCTTCATATCCCCAGAAATGTATGCTTCGAATTAAACAGTATAACGCATTTTGTATGTTTCACAAAACATACCCCACATTCTAAAGGACAGGCTGTTATTTCAGTGTCCTTCAATATACTTTTTTTTTTTGGAAACACACAATTACACTCAAGCTATTCAAAATTCACAAAGAATATTTGATTTAACTGTTATGAAACATGGATGCAATTAGGAGTGAAAATAGGAATAAAAAGGGTAGCATTTTGCATGATAAAATCAAATAATTTCTGCTCATCTAGTTGAAAGAGGGGCACACCAAACCCCCAATTTTAAAATTCTTTCCCATGATAGTTACATTTCAGGAGATTCCAATCCTTGAAGCCAAAGAAAGAAAAACCTCTATAAGGTTAGTCTTTGATACATGATTTTTTCATATATATTACTGAACATTCCATGAAAAATAAAACACACCTTGAGAAGTAAAAACTGAACAAAGCTTTTAAGACACAGTTCATATGGTGGGTATTCATCATACCCTCTAATACAGACATTTCAGATGCCAAACCAAGGACGGTCTTTGAAAATGCTTTGGCCCAATTCTGGGCAAACTTCCATATTCATGAGCTTTCAAATTAACCAAGACCCTGGATGAAAATACAACCAAATGCCTCCCGCCTATATGCAACAAAACGAAAGACACGCAACTACTAGAGCTTTCTTTCTCTTCCTTTCAGTTATGTGTTTGCTGCTGATTTTTCTCATTTCTACAAATGTCACCAAGGCAGGGAGGCCTTGAAAATATTTCAGCAGCCCACACTTCACAGACTCCATGCGCGGTCTTGCACTAACCATCTGACTGGCTTCGCTTACAGGAATTAGGCCAGGTTTAGGTTCCCAGGCACATGGATTCACCTCCCCATTAATTTCTCTATGCTATCCACTAGCGACATTTGCAAGAAAAACACATCAGACCACATACCCCAGAGCCCAGAGCAGTGGTCGGCCACCGCTCTTCTAGTCCCACAAACCAACAATGACGAGCAAGAACGTATACTCACAGCGCACAGAGGAGTAGTATTTTATTAAAGATAACTATGTCACCCAATAAACCGAATTACCACCATTTGAGTTATGAGACCACTCCACTGTCAGCATGAAGGATCCAAAAACCAAGTCAACATTTTCGTGTCCCAAGACCAGCCGCCACTCGCCAGGTATCTCTTCTTTTCCACTGGGGCTGGCTGGCACCCCTGAGGCTAAGGAGTCATTCAAGAGCATCCAGAAGATCAACATTTACCAGCCCATCTTTTTCTCCGACCCTGCCCTCCAACCTCTCCGAGTCCATTGCCTTCCAGCAGATCACACATCCACGCACCGCTAGGGATAGTTAAAGAATACGAAAATTCAGACGAGCTCCAAAAAGCCTTTGCAAAAGTCATCCACAGCACTCAACAGTGAATTTAGAAACCCCAATTTTTTTCTGAGTTTGAAGTTTTTAAGCCTTGCGGATGGTTGGAGTAGGAAAAAGGAAATTTACTAGGCAGTGCAGAGGAAATCTTGTTGTCCTCTATTGTGGCAGTGGGGGTGTTGCCCAATCCTGACTTATCTGCCTTGATAAAGGAAACCAAAGAAAAGAGTAACAAGCACAAGATTTTGTCAAGCAAAAAGGAACCCTTTCCTTACCTTAATAGTGCTGGCCATAATGCAATCAAGTTTATTGATCGTTAATAAATGTTAATAATAATTATTGCTTCTCTCTGACCAGAAAGTAGTTTTGATGAGGTTGTTTAGAGCGGATGAGATTGTGCTAAGTCTGGGAAATGAAGTCAGCCAATGGCAGGAAGAGGTTTCTATTGGTCCTGGCGGCCCAGCCCGAAGAAACAGGATATTTGGGAGTGGAGAGATAAGGGACCCTGAAAACAATGTTGTTTTTCTTGATGATATGCAGCCAGGAGATTTTTTTTTTTAATTAAAAAAAAAAAGGCATCAATTGCTTGGGACAAGGACTGCCACAGCAGGTGTGACTTGGTGTGGGGCCGCCGTGTGACACCCTGCCCCGGGGCAGGATGCAGATGTGGTGGGACTCCGCATGGCTTCACACGGGCCACAGGCACCTCGGGACGAGGCGCGGAGGATCCCCTACAGCTGGGGGTCGGGCCTTCGGGGTCCCCCCGGCTCCCTGGACCTGCCCCATGACTGGGACTCAGGACTTGAGCACCTCCTCCCCACACACTCCCTGTCCCTTTCTCCCAAAAGGAAACTCTGCAGGTAGACCTTATTTCACGTTAATGGAATAATAATACATTTGCTTGCGGACTTTTAACGGCAGTTAAAATGTGAGTTTTCCAGAAGAGTTTCATTTTCTCTTTCCAAATACATGTGATTTTTATTTGTTCCACAAGAAACCAGCTGCAAACACCAAGACTCGAGAACCAATAAGGTAAGCGAGGCAAATAAAGGGAGAAATAACCCTGTCAAATCCTCGTGTTTAAATATTGATTTAAAATCCAAAGAACTAAAAATAAATACGTAAATAGATAAACAAATAAATAAAACCCAAATAACTAAAATCATACTACAAACGGTTTATAGGGTGGGCAAGCCGATCCCGCTCGGACAAAAGTCAACGTTGCAGACCACAGACCCTGAGAGAACGCTTGGCTCTGCACAGATGCCACGTGAAGACCTCGTTAAGGGTTTGAAAATCCCAGCTGCAAGTTCAGGGCCCCACGTCTGCTTTCCACTCAAAGGAAATACAGCTAATGGAGGCCTGAACATTCCTTAGAGGATTTCAGGCCTTTAATTGCTCATTTTCAGGAAATTACTTGTTCTCTGGAAGAAACGACGTTTTGCTTTGAATCTCGCTACACGAAAGTGGGACCGACTGGGGAAGAGGTGTGGTCTCCACAGGGGACCCCGCAGAACAGGAGAGACCAAAGCCTGAGTCATTCAGCAACACTCGGGTCCAGGGGTTGGACGGGCCAGGGAACGGATTTCACTCAGACTTCAGGCCGGCATCTGTCCGAGTTCTATAAACTGGCCCGGGTTCCCATATCTCCTATTGTCCCCTGACTCACCCCCTTGTGTTAGGATAGAAGGACGAGGAGGAGGGAGAAAGAGACAAACCAAGAAACAACGGACGACAACAAAGGGAAAAGAGAAAATAAAAGAAATCCTGTTCTGGGTCAAAATCAGAACCTTCAAGTTCTCAGCATCTACACTTGGAGGGGATGTTGATTTCCCCTCTTTTCATCTCTGAACAATGAACAAGATGGCAGGCTGATTATAAAATCTTGTTTCCCTGAACATTTCAAAGCACTGAGTTGTTTTATCTGGGCGGCTTCCACAAGGATTCAGGAGCGCTGAGAAAAACGCTCTCGGCTCCACCGGGATTCCTCGGTTCTGCCCTCCCGAGAAGCATCAACTTTAAATGTTAACCCCAGTACCCCAGTGAGCTGTGCTCCTATAGCTTCCCCAAAGAGCAGCCTGAAACAGGATGAGCCTGGGGAGAAAGTGCTGCCTGGTCTTCCCTCACCCTCATCTCCTGGTTCCTAACCCACCTCGCCCCTTGTCTTCCCCCAGAGACCTCATTCTTCCCAGAGCGTCTGCTTTTAATTCCTTGGTAATTGCTTAATTCAGCTTTGTAAACAGTGAAACCTCTTAACTCTTTAGGCAGAAATAAATTTCCAACAAACAGAAACAAAAAAATACAAAGGACTCTAAATAGCCTTCACCCACTTACCCCAACTGCTGGTAATTTACATCATTTGCTTTGCTTTCTCTCTCTCTCTCTTTCATATTTATGTATAATGTCTATATGTGTATATTCACATATATCCTTTATTCTTTAATTAATAAAAATATTGTTTTAGTAGAGACTAATTTTTTTGCTTGGATACTTACGAACAGAAAACCAGGTGCTACTATTTGGTCTACTTCCTGAAGATTCTATCCATGTTTCATCGTGTCGAATTTTGAAAATGCACACAAATATAGAAAGTGATCTTTATTAGATCATTTATGAGTTGTAATTCCTGCCACGAATTTTTAGAGAGTCAAATCTTCCTCCTTTCTAATGACAAGATGTTCAACTGATTCTTAGCATCTTCAAAGACAATAATTCCTGATCTCTGGAATAGCATCATAGAATCCAAGCCTTGTAGTCTCTGAATATTTAATGCAAAGTTATTTTTTTAACTTTGATTGGCTATTGACAGTATAAGGCATATCTATTAATTAGCATATAGTAGTACAGCAACCATTTCCTAAACATTATCCTGGGGGAATCATCCAAAGATAAAGATACCACTTTATCCTTCCCTTCACACCTACCCCAAGCCTACACCTCCAGCTGGCCTCAGCACCAGATCACTCAGCAGCCTAAGGATTGGGCACCTTCTGACCAATCTTCTGACTTTAAATGTTAACCCCAGTACACCAGTGAGCCGTGCTCCTATGGCCTCCCCAAAGAGCAGCCTGAAACAGGATGAGCCTGGGGAGAAAGTGCTGCCTGGTCTTCCCTCACCCTCATCTCCTGGTTCCTATGTGTGCGTACCAAAGCTCAGCGTTCCTCCTGGGGGGAAGACACCCTTCAGGTAACCAGACAGACTCATGTCAGGGGCCACACAGAAGAGAGGCACCACCTGGGGGCCATCCTGTCATAAGCCTGCAGGACAGACCGGGTCCTTCTCCACCCTCCCTGGAACACAGTAAACACCACGCTGGACGAGTATGGCCTCCCCATGTCTGTGGACATCAGAGCCCATGACTAAGTTCTGCATTTCTATTTTTACTTACCCATCATGGACCCATTACCCACAACTTTACGAAAACCCTTCATAAGTCTATTCCTATCTTGAAAATGAAAAAAAAAAGGATATAATGTAAAATCAACCATACATTTACTATCATGATAAAAGGGGCACTATCATTTTTGGTCTTAAAACCATGTCTTCCCATTTTCTAAAGAGTCCACAAATTCCCATCCTTGTTCTGTTACTAACTTCTCTGGGTGGGATACACAGAGGAAGGTCAAGAGTTGAGACCCTTTAGATGAAGGCAGTATCATTCTAAAAGTGGTATATGAGCACAGTAAAGTCATAATGAACCATAATTTTAACTGGAGACACAAAAGAAGGTTTGCTCATGAATGATTGATCCCTGTATTAAACATCCAGACATTGGGATGCTCATCATCATTGAAAATATTGCAGGAAAATTATGTAGATCAATACTCAATACTACGGGAAATTGTTATGATATTAAGCCTGGTAAGTTAAGAATCCGGTGATAAAGGAGAATTATATCACAGACCCAGTTTGCTAAAAGGAAAAAGGCAAGACAGAAACACTAGGAGGCTATATACTATGTTACTAATGGTAGAGACTCTTCCTTTTCTTGTTTGTTTTCCCTCCTCCTCCTTTGGTTCATCGAGATTTCCAAACATTTACAGTAAGTAGAAATTGAATTTTAATGTAAAAGTTCTAGGAGTAACATGTAATGTGCTGTGTTTTTATAACTACCTGTATAACATGCAGCTCGCAACACCTACACTTGTCAAGCTCCATGTGTGCGTACCAAAGCCCAGGGTTCCTTTTTAAATGTCTACAGCAAGAAGAGGGTAGTTCTTTTTTTTTAAATTAACTTTAGTGACGAAACCCAGAAGATAGTCATGTGTCTTGTCACAGTCATCTCCCCAACATTAACCTATCCAGTCAGGATTAATAAAGTGCCTTTTGTACGCCAGGCACTCTGGCCAGCTCTAGGAACTAGCAAGGATGACAGGGCTCTGTCCAGCCACTGAGTGTCCTAGCATTCAGAAAGTCTGTGTTTGTTTACTTAAATTCCGCCCACATAAAACTGCAGAGCCTGGAAGCAACCCATGAAATGCAAACTTTTTAAGGGTCAAACAATAGGACAAAGTGCTCTATATTGTCCCTAACATGACACATGAATCTTAGAATGTATAATGTTTGGATTATTCATGAAAGCCCTGCAAGAAGGATGTCCCAAGGATTCTTGCCAGGGACATGCCTGAGGTTATAGATAAGGATCCAGCATCTGGAGTTGCCCCCACAATGGAAAACTCCATCCCTCAGTGGAACTTTTCCGTCTATGCCAATTGAAGGATTTGCCTGAGAACATACACAGCATAAGGCGCTCTTGGCCACCAAGGTCACTCATTATATGCCGGTTAAGGACCGTTTTTCCATTCAAAGCATACTTGGTGAGCACAGTTTCACTCCATTGGGAAGACTCTGTGTGTGTGTCTGTGTGTCTGTGTGTGTGTCTGTGTGAGTCTGCGATGCCCTCCAGCAACACATTAAGATATAATCCAATTACAATTTGAATAACTATTGTTTCAACACCTTCTTGAAATGGTTAATACATTCTTCAGCATCTTGGTTGATTTGAACTCATCTAAACCGAGGAAATTGTTATCACATACTAAATCCTCAACTTCTCAACACCAAGTTGCAATTTCCTTACTTTTGAAGTGTGCGTCAGTTCTGTTCTATGGGCTCCAATGGAGCAATGATTTCAATGAACGCAATTTCGTAAGCATCGCATATATTCTCAAATTTTGACAACTTTGCTCTTACCTAATTCCCTATGCCTCTAAAAATGCAGGAGT